TTGGACAGGTTTAAGCTGAGGACTGTAGGTGATGGCCAGTGGAGTTCTGTTGGTTTCTTTCTTGGGCTTGTCTTGTAGCAGGAGGCCTCTAGGTACACGTCTGGCTTTATTGATTTGTTTCCTTATTTCCTTGGTATTTTCTGGGAGATCACCAATGCATTGTAGCTTTCTCAGGAAATCAGTGGTGTCACGGAGATAACTGTGAGTGCTGGTGGCATAGGGTCTGAGCGGAGAGTCCACATATCCGGATAGTCCTTCAGTGAGTGTGCTTATGCTCCAATACATCTGTTAGTCTTAAAGGTGCCACAGGACTCTTTGTAGGTTAAATATGCTGATGATACCTCCAAAAAACATCACAGAGCATAAGAAAAGCAACCATGAGTGCACAGCTGGCTTCAGTGAAGATTCAGGCAGCTATCACTGCTAGGAAAGAAAGCTTTAGCAACAGATCATGAAGGAAACTAGAACAAATTAAACCAATAATGGAACCTTCAGAAAAATTGAAGTCTAAATGATAAGTGAAAGAAACTGTCTATATCTGTATTATGATAAGGCCACTGAATCAGGCAAATGATGCAAAACTTAAAGGAATGACCCCTACCATACAGCAAACACAACAGCCAGTGATAGAGGATAGAGGGGAAATCACTAAATGGCAAAATCTACCACCAGAAAATAAAGAAAAATGTCTTACTGGACTATGGCAAAAGTACTGCAAAATTCCAGAGACCGTGAAAACCTGGATGAGGAGAGAAGATGAAAAATATTAATTAAAAGAATAACTGCAAACCCACAATGTGCAAATTGGTTATAGATAAGGTCCAAACCAGAAAAAAAAACAATGACAAACAATATGCCCCATAGCCAATAGTTCTGTCAGAGACTCAGCACTTTGCCCATTAGTCACCAGCCTGAAACAGGAAAATAACCAGCACATACCACTGGCAAGGATACATACACTCACTGCGAGGTTGTATATGTGAAAGTATGTTCCCCCATGTCAAGGACACTTTTTCATCATAGATAGGATGTTGTAGGGAAGGAGAGGTAATGATAAAGCTCAAGAAAAAGATGCAGAATCACAGAATACATGACTTTTGTGAGCACCATGATAACGTTACTTTTATTGTGCACACAAGACTAGGATGTTTGGGGATTTGCAAAACAGGTATACAAACAGATAGTGGTGAGTTACTGAGCAGAGACTGCCAGTAAAGTTGTCAATTAATACCAGATGTAGTGGATTTTGGAACATGCACCCTTCTTTGGTGGGAATTGTTCTGAGACCATCAAACCCGTATCACATACAGGATAACAAAACCTACGTACTAGTACAACATTTCTGTGGTGGTTAGCATGGGAGCCAAAATCAGTTTATTACAGAAACTCAGTTGCAAACTTAACTACAAGAACTACTAACTTTCACCACTCCATAATTCCTGAAGAGACATATGTGATAGTGAAAATAATTCCCACTCTCTTTATTAAAGTTTTGATACAATTAAGTCAATGGAGGGCCTTCCATTGAATTTTATGGGAACTGGATCTGGTCCACAAAGATTCCATGTGCCACAAATTATACAGATGACATTAGACATAAAGCTAGTAAATCTACAATACATGCAACAACTCTCCATTAACCAGAAATGATAGCATTTACAAATAATGGACACATGCATGTATAAAACGGTCACAAAAACCAATGCTATCTGGTACACATTTTCAATACTCTAATTTCAAGATGTAAAAGCACATTGTCGTCTCAAAATTTCAGAGGTTTGCAGTCATAACTTTTAAACCCCGTTTTAACAAACAAAATCATGAAGAGAAAATTGGAGAAAATGTTTGTTTATTAAATCACAATCTCACAACGGCTTAACTCAGTTTTGTCTGAGAATTGCAACAAATTTGCATCTTTACAGTAACTTTCAGTCACATTTATGAAAAAGGCAATGCCTTTATTTCAATGAGTTTTTCCATCACAATCTTTTTGCACAGAGTCTAAGCTATTGGTATTGAGAAGTTAAGAAATTGTCTCATTAAAAATGAGTCTTCCTATCATAAGAAATATTTTCTGTAATATTTGCTACAGAAAAAAACAAGGAAATGAAATATGAACAAAAATATTCAAATATGTATTTAAAAACAAGTTAGACAAGAGAAGGTCAGTAATTGAAAGGTGTGACAACTACAAACAGAGCCAAGTTACAAAAAGGGTTAGCCATTTAAATGGCCAAGTTAAACATGACACAGTTAAGGTTAACTTAGTTCTGGTGACATATATAAACCCACATTTGGGGGGAGAAGGGGGGGTTAAGTTAGCCTAAACAGTGTCTTGTTTATCTTCTCCATTTTTAGTCACTCACCGTTTTGTAGGTTGGCTCTATTTGTAGACATCACACCTTTCTGCACATTCTTAACACTTGGCATCCTTGTATATCTTAAATGTTGTAATCAAAAATCACTTTTTTGTTTAGAAAAATAATAAGCAGTAAGAATGGAATCCTAGGGAGAACAGCAAAAATCGGGTATAGAAATGAAAATACACCCCCATCTCCAAACAACATGTGAACTCCCCCAAACGTATGAAGAAAAATCTAACATCCAATTAATTACCACTTTTTTTTTTAAATAGAGGATTGGACAGATTAGGGAACTGGCAATAGATTTCACTGCCTCTAGATCATTCATTCAAAGCCTGCAGGGATGGTGATGACTAAAAATTGCTGCCATCTGATGGTAGTTTGGGATTTGTGATATGAATGAATGCTAGGGATGGTTGAAATTTTTCTGTTAAAACCATTTTTGACAGAGAATTGGAATTTTAACTGAACACCATTTTTTCATGAAAAGTTTCTGCTTTCTGCTGAAAATTTCAATCTTTTTGTCTAAAAACCAAATCCCCCAAAAAACAAAATATTAAGATTCAGATGTTCTGTCCTAGTGACTTATGGGAGCTGCAGTTCAGTTTCCTCAGGTCCCCATTCTCCTCTATGAGCCAGGTTACCCAGCTAAACTGCAACATTCATGGTGCACCAAGGCCAGGGACTCTTAGGATGCGACTGCCTCCCCTCACCAGCAGGAGAAACCATGGTGTATCATGGGAGTTGGAGTCTGACCACAGATCCTGTCCTATGGAGGAGAATGGAAGCATGAGGCACATGATTACAACTCCCATAAGGCACCATAGCAGCATTCCTGAATTGAAATATTTCTGTTTTTGAAATATTTTGATTTTTCACAAAAAAGTGACACTTTTCTATGGAAAATTTTGATTTTTTTTTTCAACCGGAAAAAGCCCATTTTCTGACTAGTACTAACGCATGAGCAACAGCTAGTTTGTAGGTAACAGAATGGAGATTATTGCATTACTGCATCCTGAGCTTTTATCTCCTCTGTGGATAAATGGCTGGCTTCCATTTTCAGGGCTGGCTATTTGGCACCTTCCCCAACCACCTCATTCACTAACAACACTACTCATTTGTCAAGAAAAGAAATAATTCTAGGACAAAATACTTGGCAACTACAGGATTAATTCAGCCATTAGAAGCTGGAATAACATTTATGAAGTATATTGTTCATCTGCAACATGGCGTTAACAGACTCCAGAACCCCCACAAACCTTGAGGTTCTCAAAGCAGTTTAGAAACATCTTATATTAAAATGAATAGAGAATATGTGCCTAAATCTCTTTAACCGCTTAGAAAACCTCAGTCTATAATGTATTTTACCTAAATACAAAATATGCAGTAACAGATACTGAAACCAATTACTCTATGTGCCAGTCTTGTAGATTAATTTACCTACAGTGAGAAAATGGTCCTGACTGGCATGCAGAGTGGTTTGTTTTTTTAATTGATTCATGTAGCAGCATTAACAATAATGAATGTATACCAACAATGCTGAACAGAATAGAATCCGTGTAAATGTTATTTCCAAGTTCTGTGGTATATATATCTGTGGATACAGATATCCGTGGATATAAATCTGGATCTGTGGATCTGTGGATACCAAAGTGGCAAAAGCAGCAGCATGCCAGGCCACCACTCCCAAGAGCCAGTGCCCCACGCCAGCAGCTCCTCCAGCATGGCTGTACCACCCCAGCCCTGCCCCCAGCCCTGCCCCCAGCCCTGTCCACTGCACTAGGGCAATGAGGGACAGCTGCCAGTGAGCCAGGTGCCCACAGTGGGTGGGGCTGGGGGCAGTACAGCCACACTGGTAGAGTTGCTGGCTCTTGGGAGTGGCGGCCCAACAGGCTGCTGTTTTCGCCTCTGCAGTTCCCGGTAGATCCCTGCAGCTCTGTGGATACTGATTTATACCCGTGGATATCCACATTTGCGGATATAAATTTTGTATCTGTGCAGAGCTCTGTAAATAAATCCTTCTCTCTGTGTCCATTTTTATCTTTATGTGCACACGTCGAGGGGGAATATTTTTGTGCTCTGAACATTCTCCTCGTTGTTCAGATCATTTCCTGGCCTATGTCCTAAAATGCTCTTGCTTCTTGTGGACTTTTCATATTTTTAACTTGAGTGATCTTCAGTTGATTTACTGTATCCTCATCCTACATGTTGGGTAAGTGATAAAGGCCTGAAATTTTAACATTTGCAAGTGCTGGCAAGTTTTTTGCTTACACAGAATTATGTACAAAATGAGAAAATAAACATAAAGGGCCACTAAAAAGCACCACTTTTACATGCTGCATGCAAGGTTGCCTAATAGCTGGAGTTAAGGTTGCCTGAAAGTCTCCATTTCAAGGGATCTTATTGTTTATAATTTTATCAAACATTCATCTTCTGAGATGAATTTTCCAGCTGTGATTCTTGCCTTAACATGATCAAAAAAAGCTCGCCCATATTTGAGAATAAAGAGAATGGGAAAAACACACACACATACACGCACACACTTTGCCACTTGTGAGTATTGTGGTTTCCCAAACCCATTCCAGTAAAATATTCTACCAACTCACCTTACCCCACACCATTCTGAGACAGATCAAATGAGGAACCAGGAGGAAAGAACTGGGGCTGGTTGAACAAGGAGACTAAAACTGGCAATGGGTGGGTGGGTGGGTGCGGGGGAGGAGGCGAGGGCAGAAATTATGAGTGGCAGAGTGGGGGGAGATTGGGACAGTTAGCCTGGAGGAGTAGACTGGATTGGCTGGGCAAGGAGACTGAGATGAGAAGCCTGAGTAATGGAGACTGGGACTGGGTGGGCATGAGAACAGGACTGGAACAAGGAGCCAGGTTTAGGGAAGAGACAGGACTGGGACAGGTTGGAGGGACTGGGCAGAAAGGGTCAAGCTGTGCCCACTAGAACATGCTCCCTTTCAGAGCCTGGCGTGTAACCCAAGATTCCTGAGTCTCACCATTCCACTGCTGCCAGAAAATATCTGTGAAATCCACTGGCAAAGTGTGGTTCTCTTCCCCCTCTATACCAGTCTACATAGAGGATAACAAACTACTATTGCTGTCAGTTACTCTATAAGCTGAAGTTGCAGAGGTCTGCGCAGTGGATCTAAAGGTTCCAACCCTGCTGATGAAACAGTTGGTGTCAGTGTATTACCACATGATGGAATTACTGTTTCGTTTTTCAGTTTGTTTTTTAAAAACCCTAGGAAACCATACACAAAATAATTATGAGGCAGGAGTCCTACAGACAATAGTTTCCTTTACCACACATCCCTGATTCATCCTGTGAGCAGGTCCATCTGGTGCACTGAATGAGGCAGAGGTCCTGTGGAAAAATAATTATATGTGATCATGTTCTGGTAATTAAAAACTCTATCATAATGTACATGCCTAAGTGGATGGAATTAAGGTTGGGCAGGCAACCTTAACTGTGGCATTTCCTATCTTTGAATGCTTGAATTTGCATTCTTAATAATGTTCTTTAAACATAGTTTTTGTCTGTAATATTATCTATACAGAACACATACATACACGTATACTTTCACACACTCCTTGAATCTCTCTCTCTCTCTCTCACACACACACACACATACACACAACCACTACTTGAATTGCGGAGATTGTATTTCCAAATCTAATAGTTCATCCACACAGACAAAGATTTCTGCAACTTTGTCAAATCTGTCAGATAATTAATAAATAAAAAGACTTCTCTTCTGTGAAATAAACACAGCTATAGAGGTTTTAAACCAGTCAAACTTGTTTGCCAAACTATTTAAAACATTAAAGTAGATTATGAACATCAATGGACAGTGATCTGTTCTGTTTACCAGCACCCGGTAGAGAGGAAAAAATAGTAGATATCAAATACAAAAAAAATCCTTTGTTCACTAGCAATAGCATGTATATATGTGATTCCCCCTTCTTTGCAGAGCACCCCCACATTACCATATTTAGGATACCTTGTTTTATGCTGATTTGCATGTAATCATAGAATCACGGCATCATAGAATATCAGGGTTGGAAGGGACTTCAGGAGGTCAACTAGTTCAACCCCCTGCTCAAAGCAGGACCAGTCCCCAATTAAATCATCTCAGCCAGGGCTTTGTCAAACCTGACCTTAAAAACCTCTAAGGAAGGAGATTCCACCACCTCCCGAGGTAACCCATTCCAGTGCTTCACCACCCTCCAGAAATGGTGGTACAGCTCTTTATTATTCAACACAATTGATCATACTAAGAGCACAACACATGAGCAACATACCACTAACCTGAACAACAGGTGTTTTATCAGATTTCTTAAGTGTTTTAGCAAACGAGTTGGCCACAGGAAGAAGAAGAATTTTCATATCAGTTATATCTTCACACCTGTTTGGAAACAAAAATATAGACCTTTATACAGACCACTTATCCAACAGGTAAGTAATATACAATATTAATATTGACTGATAATTAAAATAATCTTCAGGAATGCTGTAAAATAGCTGGCACAGAATTATGTTCTCTATTTAGTTAGGTCTGTTCTGAGGAAAAAACTGGAGCACACTCATTATATTTCCCTGATAGCTTCCATCTTACAATTAAAATAGCATATATAAGTGAACCAGGGATCCGGTTGCTATTTTAAATGTACTGTATTGTTGTCACATGGATCCTTCCTTGTCCTGGATATCATTCCATTGTTATATTTTAGACGGCTCAGAGGTTGGCCCTTGCCCCTCTTTTTCTTAAAGTAAATCTAATTAGATGATAATGCCCTTCTTGTCAAAACTTCTTGCTTATTTAAGCCCATGGTAATAATTTCAATTTGTTAAAGATTTATTCAGATATTCTCATCGCTGTTTATTCAAATGGACGTTCTTTTCTGAAGGAACAAAGGACATAATTTCTGCAAACAGATGTAGCAAACCTGTCAAGCTCTCAAATGGTTAAGTTGAGCATTTCACTTAGAAAGGCTGACAAATTTTCCTCACTTCAAAATATCATTAACACCAATAACACATTTGCCCAAGCCTATTTCTAAGTTGTAAAAAAAGATTGCTACAGATTAAGACCCTTGATATAATGCTATAAGCTCCTAACAATAGTATCTTTTATAGTGAAGAGCAACTGCAGACACAAATTGCCCCCTTTCCTGCACCTTTTTCACAAAAATCAATATTAAAGTAGTAGCTGCTTTAACTCTCCCATAGACTATATGAGAAAAAACCACAGCCATGCTTAGGACAGTTTAGGTCAATAAAGAATCAATACTGTGGTTGAATCTGTAGAAAGATTAAAGACTTAGAAGTTGCTACACTGTGGCCTATTGTTTCTATTTTGAAAAGAAGCTGAAGTACCTCACTTTTTAAAAAAAGTAGCAATGAATTTAGTGTTTGTGGAAAGCAGAGGACTCAATGGAGGTTCTATATGGCTGCGGTATCTGCAGCCTAGGGCTCTGATCTACGGTAGTTCACCCACGTGTCCCATTTAGTTCAAGGGGAGTCTCAGGAGCACAAGAAATGCAGCACTGGGACCCAAATATACTGGAAGCCCAAACCTTTGAGCAGAGCTTGATCAAGCCCAAATCATTCATTAATTATATATTTATATTGGAGGAACAGCTGAGACTCCTGAGTCAGGAGGGTGGGCCCATGGTGCTAGGTGCTGTGAAAAGACATAAGCACACATGGCTAAGGCTGCAATTCTTTCACAGAGGTCGCAGAAGTCACAGATTTTGTAACTTCTCGCAACCTCTGTGACTTCCACAGCAGTGGGTGTGGCTGACTTCTGGCTGCTGCTGGAGTGACCTGGGGCCAGCTTCTCTGGTGGTCTCCGAGGCCAGCCACACCAGTTGCAGCTCGGGAGACCCCGGGTAGCTGGCTCCAGGGACGGCCTGAGCAGCGGCCAGTGCGGTGTGGACCGCCTGAACAGCGGTCCTGGGGGCAGCCCTGGGGAGTGCCAGAGCAGCAGTCCCAAGGACCGCCCCAGAGCCACCTGCACCAGCCACTGCCCAGGGACCACCCAAGCAGCGGCCTGCCACACCAACCATTCCTTGGGTGGCCCCAGGCAGCTGGCTCCAAGGACTGTGCAAGCAACAGCCGGTGCAGCTGGCTCCGTGGAGCACTCGAACAGCAGTCCTGAGGGGAGCGTGGGGGCCACCCGAGCAGCAGAAGTCCCAGGGCATCTGGAGCATTGGCCCCAGAGGTGCCCGGAGGCCGTCCAGAAAGCGGTCCATGGGAGCAGCGGCTGGAGGGCAGTGAACCCCCAGCACTGAAGCAGGGACCCCGGAGCAGAGGGACCCCAGAAGTAGAGATTTGGTCATGGGTATTTTTGGCAAAAGTCATGGACAGGTCATGGGCGGTGAATTTTTATTTATTGCCCATGACCTGTCCATGACTTTTACCAAAAATATCCTTGACTAAATCTTAGGGTTAATTATGGATAGACTGTCCATTAAAAGGTGGGAGTAAAAGAGGTTCTCACCATGATTTCTAGTTACCCCTTTCCACTGATAAGCAAAGAGAGCTGATGTAAAGCAAACAGGACTCTCTGAGGTATTTGGCATTTGCCAGATACAAAAGTCCTATTTATAGTTTAACTCAAGTTCACCTATCACATTTCACGTTGTGACTTAACCACATTTTAACCCCCACCTCCCACCAGTGAAAAAATAGAATCACAGACAAGTAAATATCTTCTCTCTCTCACACACACACACACATTTGGATGTGTCTGACTCAGTTACTGTCCATCTTCATATCAAGCAAGTGCACTGTATACTATGCTTCTTTTATAAGCCCTAGAACCACAACCAAATACATGCATGAATACTAACTGAAAATGAAAAAAATATTGTTTTATGTGCACTGGAGGGTTTAGAAAAAACAATGCACGAGTCCAAATCTTCCAAATTCTTTACTTGAAGGTGCACTTTTGTTATCCTACAAGGGACAGCTTCTAATGCTTCTTAGCTTATAGCAATAGCTTCTTCTTGCAAAAACCTAGTAGAAATCTAGATAAAGCAGGTGCTATAGTATAGTAAATTGGTAGCTACAGAAAATATAGCAAAGATTTTAAATGTATTTGTCTGAGGAAAACAATTGTTGCATTGTGTAAATGTTAGATCTGCAAAGCCTGAAGTAAATACTGGTCCTTTACTGTTCTATGTTCTAATTATAATTGGAATAAAAACAATGTGTGTTTTCTAGTCCATATGACCAAAATATTCATACCTGTATGATGCACTAGTAAATAGTGACATAAATAGGTTAGTTTATGTCAATAGTAAATGAAATAAAGTGTTTTATTAAGATTTAAATATCCTGCAATAATGTGATTTTTCTAGCAAATACATAATTGTTATACATTACTATGATGATTATCATTTAAATTAATTGCTGTTCCATTAAATTGTCCAGCTGCTTTATCTACAGCAAGAGTTCTCATCCTGGGGGTTATCATGACTGAGTGGAATCATGAACAGGTGTTATTGGGTCACAACTATCCTGTCACCCTTTCCTTGTTACTAAATGACAGAGGTGTTCTGAAGGGGTCACACTGTGGAAAATTGGTTCATAGTATGGAAAAGGTTGAGGCCAACTGACCTAGAGTACTCCTCATTCAAACCCCAACACTGCAGTGTTAGGAAAATGTGCATGACGGGCATAAGAAATAAGCATTGAGGAGGAGGTACATCTATAGGAAGTGATTCTAAGAAAAGTTATCGTATCATCCTAGCTGTGTTTGCTAGATCAGCACCAATGTAGGGAAAGTTTAGTATTAACGAAGATAAATACTCCCCCATTTCAATGAATGTTGTTTATGTTAAAAGAAGCATTCTCCCCTGGCGGAACCTTCATCCCAGTCACCACTCCTCACTGGAGGAATTTCCAGTTGAAATTTTTCTGTTGGTTCCAGCTTAGTTATGGACTAGAGCAGTGGTGGGCAACCTGTGGCCCATTAGGGTAATCTGAGTGCGGGTTGTGAGACATTTTGCTGATGTTGACCATCCGCAGATCATGGCCCCCCTCCCACCCACCCCCAGCTCCCAGTGGCTGCGGTTCCCACTCCGGCCAATGGGAGCTGCAGGAGCAGGAAGCAGCAGCCATGCAGCCCACCACTTCCTGCAGCTCACATTGGCTGGGAACGGCGAACCGTGGCCATTGGGACCTGTGGGGGGCCATGTCTGCGGATGATCGTCAGCAAAATCTCTCGCTGCCTGCAATCAAATTACCCTGATGGGCCGCATCCGGCCCACGGGCCGCAGGTTACCCGCCACTGGACTAGAGCAATAGGTCTATTGGTCTGCTGTTTCTGGTCCTCTTACTTAAAATAACAGAGGCTAGTAGAAACCAATAGAGAGCAGTTGAAAAAATCTAAAAAAGTCTAGTGAAATTTCCCCTAGTGCTCTCCCATCCTCATGCATCTTTTCACTTGCTACTTCACCCTTAACCCATCCTCCCTGACTCCTACTTTCCTTCCTGAGACTAGAAAAACTTCACTCACTCTGCAGATTCCCTCAGCCCATGGCAGGATTGCTCTCCCTCATCCTGGGAAGGCTGTGAGCTTGGAAGATAGCAGCAGGTTTAGTAGAGATTGTCAGAATTGCAGTCGTCACAAGGATTTCAGGTAAAGAGGTTTGTTCTTGGAGTTGGGGAAAGGAGGCTATTTACACGAACTTTCTCCAGTCTAAACAAATTTGGGGGGTCCTTTTTTTCATTCAAGATTTGGGTTGGGTCATGGGGAAGTTCTGATTTTTCTAAACCTGTTAGGCCATCAGAGCACATTAAACAACTTTTAGTACTGTATAATTTCAACCTTTTTATCCAGCTAAAGTAGTGAATTCACACATGGAAAGATACAATCTATAATCACCTCCTTTAGTTACTAGGTTGTTAGTCAGGCATAACGGGCTTGATCCTGCTCCAGCTGAAGTCCATGCCAAAAGTGCCATTGATTTCAATGGGAGATAATCAAGCTCAATGTCATTTATCTTCTAGTTTGGTTTACACCAAAATCCCCGCACCAAACAAGAAAACTTGGGCTATGAAAATGTCTCAGCAAGTAACATCCTATGCAAACATAAAGGGACTTTAGTTTGTTTTCTCTGATTGGGTCTCCTAAACTTTCTCTATTCAATTAACAAGAGGTTTTCCACACCAGGTGACAGGACTGAGGCAGGAAGGATAGTCACCTGTCTTCATTTGCTAGCTGGTTTTGGAGGCATGCTAGAATTCTGATAAAAAATATAGTGTGTTAGAGAAAAATAATTCTAGGCTCATTGGATTGTTGTGAAAGACAGAAACACTGAATGGAATCTTTTCACTGACTACCCAAGGGGACATTTAGTGGGACTTTTCAATCTATTCATGATCTGTTATTCCCAGCC